TTCATATTTATTTTAACAGTTTATCTATTATACAAATATTTACAAATTTAATACTTTATAAATATAATTTCCAAACTAACCAAAATAATTAGAATATTATCTATATTCTAAATTATTTAATCAAACTTAAAAATATTAATTACATTATATACAAAATCAAATCACATTTAAACAATACTCTATATAATATAGTTAATATCTTAATTGAACATAATACTAAAAAACTAAACTAAAATTTAATCTTAATATTTTTATTTATTCATCTTTTTTATTTAGAAAGAAATACTAATTACATACAAACTTTGTAAATTTTACAAAAACTTTTTTTTTATTCAAATATTTAACAGTTTTCTTTAACTTAAACTACTATGAAATTTTTCTATTATAAACATTCTACTATTTATTAAAATTATTAACTTTCAAAATTCTAATTTAAAACTTTATTCTATTAAAAATAAAATACTTCTAAATTACTTACCAACAATATTAAATTTAAATATTTACTATTCTCTACTTTAATTAACTCCAAACTGCTTATATTTTAACTAATATGAAAATACTAAACATTTACTTCAATGCTTACTTCATTCTTACAATTTACAAAACATTCTTATTAATAAAATTACTAATATCTTAAACTTATTAAACCTCTTAAAAGCTTCATCATACATAATAATACAAATCTTTAATTTACAAAACTTTCTCTTAAATTTTATTATATATAATACAATATTCTTACTTATTTAGGATACAATAACCCTTAACTAATATAAACAATTTCAACTAATTTTAAAAAAACTAACTAACAACTTTCTTATTTTCTTATCTAACTCTTTATTTAACTAGTTAACTTTACTATTTGGCAAACTTAAAACACTAAACAATATAAATAAAAATCAATATGAGAAATTATTACTTTTACTAAAAAGAAAAACAATGCTTGATTACTTATTATACAACCTTCTAACTTTAACAATAATGTATAGTTATTTGGCATAATGTAATAATTGCATTGTGATTTGTATAATTATGATTTTATTATTATACAAAACAAATAACAGAAAGTATTTTGTGTGAAATTTGATCAGAAGATATATAGGCTCTGCAGTGACCCAGACATCAACTGATCAAATTTCATACAAAATACATCAGTTCTTAGTATAGAGTATTCAATAACGGTATTATCTGGCATCCTATAATGATTGAAAATTAAATTTAATAAATGATAATAAATTAAACTTTAAATTAATAACATTTATGTATTACATATTAGTAATATTAAAGTTACAGTTTCTTTTTTTTTAAAAAAAAAGATTGTGATGTAGTTTGAGTTTTATATAAATATTATGTTTGTTCATGCTTCTTTTTTTATTTATTTCTTTTTTTACATAATTGTGTTTTAAGTTAGTATAAAAAAAAATGCTAAAAAATACAAATAAAAAAAACTACTTATTATAAACCTATAAGCAAAGAAATTAACAAAATTATCAAAGGTACTATCTCTGAAAATACTTGTAAAGCAACTGCTAAGTGAATAAGAATCTTGAAAGCCTGGTGCTCTGAAGTTAAATATAATTATAATGTTGAACCTATCATAAATAAAAGTTAACTTAAATGTAAAATGATCAAATTTATACTTGGTATCTGTAAAGTCTGTAATCAAGGAGAATATTCATTTTCTTTACTAATGAACTGTATTAGACTTTTAAGCATCTACATTTTAAAGCACTCTAATGCAGCAGCAAAATATAATATAGGTAATAGGAAAAAATTTGCTGAATTATGGAACATATTAAATAAAAAATTGAAACAGCTAAAAAAAATGATATCATGTTATGACATTATGACCACCTGACAAATAAAGAGTTAAAAATGATTTTTTAACATAATGCAGTTTCTAATGACATACTACAAGAGTTACTTTATAGAATTTTTATGTGTTGTTGTCTTTATTTCAACCCTGTAGTGGTAAACATTACAAAATATCTCACAATTTACTTTTACATCTAATGGAGGTATCTATTTTGCAAAAAATCATTAAAAAAATGACCAAGATAAATTGATAGAAATTCTGATACTTATATTATTTTTGTGCCTCCAGATTCTGAAGGTAGTCAAGAACTGGTTTATAATTTCAAGCTCTATCATTCTAAAAGACTAACTTCTTTTAATCACATATCACTTTATTTAAAAATTAATAATGAGGTAAAAGGTATTATATATCATATTATTGAGTGTTTTTTTTTTTTTATTAACTTTATTTAAATTTTCAAATAGACAGTAATATCATGATACACAATTAAGTAAGAAAGTTTGTCAAATGCTTCTAAAAACTATTTGTATCATTGTCAGTATTAGTATAAAGAGCTGTGATATTGTCAACCATTCTGGTAGATCTACACCTATTATATTCTTATTTCAGAAAGGAATTCTACAGTTACAACTATGGCATTAACTGGGTATAAAAGTGAATCATTATATTGCACTTATGCCTGCCTATCTGAAAAACAAAAAGAAGATGCACTTTCACTACTAATTAATAATATTGGAAAGTTGCTACCTTCAAGTAATTTAAATAATTTGAAAACTTTAAATAATTCAGAAGTTCCAAATAAATCAAAAGCTTCAAATGAATCGAAAGCCTTAAATGAATCAGAAGCCTTAAATGAATCAGAGGCCTCAAATGATGCAAAAGTTCCAAAATATATATTAAAGATATATACTTATTTATTTTTTTTATTACTATTGTTATTTTAATAGTTATTTATTTATTTATTTATTTTTTGAAAAATCTATAGTAAAACGAAATTCAAGTTGTTCTATCTACTCTACATCATCAATAGTTTCATCACCCAAGTTTTCTGTTTTTAGACCATTTTATAACCATTTTAAGATTCATTTAAAATAAACTTATCATTGTACTCAAATGTGTCTAAAACAAATTTTACACTTGGTAGTTGACAAGTTCTTTGTAAAACTTCCAAGATGGATAATTCTAATGAGCAAGAAATGATCTGTAAAACTACAATCATCAAAAATTACTATATCATGGCTAAAAATATTACTATTAACTAGAAATATGTATTTAAATTAATGTAAATTTAATAATTTTATTATTGAATTAAATTGAGTGACTATATAATTTTAAAGACTTTTGGGCCTAATCCAGCAGTTTAATACTTGTTTTCAATAAAAAAAATAAATTGTAAATTACATAATTGAATTAGATTTAATAAAAATAATTGCCAAATAACTTATGTTATTTGGTAAGCCTGATCATAATAAAATGCCAGATAATATATTTATATTTAAATCAATTTATTCTTAAAACTCTTTTCTAAAGTTTTACTATATATACTTGCTTTTATCAACTAAAACAATTCTAAAAGTTCTTTTTACTCTTCTTTGTAGTTAATAATTATAATAGTTGATTTAACTAAAGACTGAAAATTAAAGATTAATATTATACTAGATGTTGTTTTGTATATAGCAACAATAGTATAGTTTAGAAATATTTTATTTATATATTTATATCTAATTAATATACTTATATGTTACTATTTTTTCTACTTAATATTATATAATAAAAATAAAAAACAAAAAAAGTTTTAAAATTATTATAATACAATTTATAATTACATTTTACAAAATTAATTATTACTAGTACTATATTAGTTATTCTAATTGTATTTTATTAACTTTATCTAGCTATTCATATAATATTTAAGTTTGTATTTATTACAGTTATTATAACTACTTATAGTTAGAAAGTATCATTAAACTACTATATAAACAAAAATATCTTTAAACTTAATATGAAATTTATATATTAGAAATATTATTTTCTATAATTATATTTATATATTTTAATTACATATTTTATCTAGTCTTGTTTTTTTAGTTTTTTAATTTAATTATATTTAGTAATAATTTGTTCTTCATATTTCTATTTTTTATTATTGTACTACTTTTAAATT